TTTTAAAGCCTGCCGGACATCCTGAGTATGTTTTGCGTGTTTTCCAAACATACATTCATAGATATATACAGTATAGAATTAGTTAGACCTATGAGCCTGATGACCCCATTTCTCCGATCGCGCCCTGATTGACTCATTTTATCTGACAGGCTGACGCAGACTCACATGAAACACTCTGAATCTTCTGTGATTCACATCATTAGCTCGCAGGGCTCCAGACTTCACCACCGTCCCGAAAAAAAGATGATATCAAGTGAATGTGAACTGTCCCTAAAATCAAAATGTTGTGTCTTTACTTTGTTAATATCACACACACAGAGACAGACAGAGATTCTTGCTTTATAGTTAGAGTAGATAGCTGGATGTCTGCTGCATGCCGCGGTTCTGTTTTCTGATAACTCATATTAGTGTCTGGATTTCTTATTATCACTTAATATTAAGGGACGGAGTAGGAATAAAGATCAGCCCTGGACTTTTGACTTGAACTGGACCTGGACTAGACAACCAGAACCCAGCTGGAGACGCCATCACATACGACTAAAAATAAAAAAAATAAAAAAAAATAAAATTCTGTAGATCTGAGCTTATCCCACAGACTATGAGGACTTTAAACAGCTTATTAACTCATTAGAGCAGAAAACAAATCCATACATTTTCCTGATGAATAAACTCTAGAATCTAAGTAACTCTAACTCTAACCCTAGACTAAATTTCTGTTGTGCTCTGCCTACTACTCATTGTGTAAAACTGGACTCACTGGGAGCAGTACTGGGAGCTGTGGTCCTGAATCCACTCTGCTGCTCTGCTCCTCCTGTCTGTTGTCTGAGTTACTGCTGATACTTGAAGCATTGGATTTTTCTGGATTTTAACTTCTTTTCTCTGAGATGATCAGACACAGTTTTTTTTTTTTTGCTTATTTAACTTTGTCATTCATGTAAAACGAGTCATCATCAGTCCACTGCTGCCTCAGTGTTGAAACCATGACAAAGATTCAAACATATAAACGATAAGCGGGTGGATCTTCCCGTGCCTCCCGATCAGCCACTGCGTGCTCGGTACTCTCAGTTGTCAGTCTGCGTATTTGATAGTCAGAACACTGGATTAATTCACCTGACGGCTGCAGAGCAGCAGCGAACCACCTCTCTGCTCACATTTCAAAGAATGTGACATTAATGATGAATCACCTCAACACTCCAACCTACCTGCTACTAATCCCAGAGTTCTTTTCTTGTCCCGACCCTGCGGATATAACTGGAGTCACTACTGTCCATGTACAAGCTATGTTTACTGTGATAACAAAAAAGATCACACTGATATATTGAAATTGTTGGAATTTATGCTTTAGCTAATAAACTCACACACAGCCAAGGTGCCACCTGTGACGTTAGCGAAGAAGTAACTTTACCAAGCAGCTAGTGACTATTTCAAATCAATGCCTAATAAAAAATGCACCCATTAAAATGTGTCCTTCAGTCAGCTCAGACTCGGGGTCTGGAGGCGTCTGGGTGGACTCGCTCTGTGTTTAGTTTAACCAGCGTGGCACACTTAAGAGGTCCCGGCAGCGAGACCGTGACTGACGGGTTAAGAGTGTTGCACCGGAACATTTCATCAAAGATCCTCTTTAACAAAGATGAAGCATTACAAGCAGCGCCAATGATAAGAAATGGTAAACACTTCCTGTTTCCTAAGTGGGCGTGGTCACGATTGTTTGCTCGTGTCAAAACAACAACAAAAACACATTATAACTCGATACAGTTGGAATTTTTGCCTGATTTTGCTGCTTGTTTTTATCAGTTTGCTTATATCTGATCAACCCAGTACAAGATCACATCAGTCTAAAACTCTCTGTTTTCCCTCCAAAACTGATGATCATAACAATAATTGTATTATTACACAAAGAAATACAAGTTTTATTTCACTTTTAAATTTTAAATCATGGTTGCACGTATAGGTCCCTCTAAACTTCTGTGGTTGGAAAGTGATGTCAGCAGCACGACTGCAGCAGTGAAACCAGAGAGAAGAGATGTGTGCTGTGAGATCTAATGAGAGTGTGTAGTTGATTTTCTCTTGATCCGTCTGAAAAATGCCATTTTAATGTCAGAGTGTTCTGAAGATCTGTGGCTTGTGTATCAGTGTGTATTTCGGTGACTATAAGGTGAAAGAATCACAATCTGTGATCATGTTCACTTCTCCCACTGGAGTGAACAGACTCAGACCTGCTGCTGCTGGTCTCCTACAGGGGCAGAGACGTGGAGAATCCAATGTGACACAGAGAGAGAAAGTGTCTCTGATGTCAGGTCTGGTGCTGAGTGACAGTAACCATATTAACAGCAGGAGAAGACACGCTGTGCTGATTGTAGTCATCCAGCGCTCACTTCAGTTTGTCATTTGTTTAACTATAGTGTAAAACAAGTAAATGAAAAATTACATGTATATCCTTTCGTCTGGAAGCGCCCCGGCTCAGATCTGTGTTCGTCCCAAACACGGTTCAACTCCCGGACCATTTTCTGCATGTCATTCCCCTACTCTCTCCCAGCATTTCATATCTGTCTCCGCTGTGCTATCCAATAAAATGGCCAAAAAAATACTATGTTGCTTTTTCACTATTTAACATAATAAACAGCCGTGACAGCATGTGGCTGGTGTTTTCACTGTGTGAGTCTGTGTGTGTGTGTGTGTGTGTGTGTGTGTGTGTGTGCGTGTGTGCTTGGGGTCTGTGTACAAAACACAAACAAGCATGTTCCTTTCTGCCTGGAGAATATGATTTGTGGAGCGTCTCTGTAGCAACACAACGTTTCATTTCTGGTTTGTTGTTGTGACACATTTTAGCTTCATTAAAACGCTGCAGCTCCTGAGATGTGGATTTTGCACTTGGCCATATAGAGATTTCCATAATAGTTCGACTAATTGTTCAGCACAAGTTCTGACAGCCGGTTAAAATTTTGGATTTAGTCCAACACTAATTCATCTCTTACTGAACTTTGTATCGCTCTGTTTTTATTAGCAAAGAGCAATGTAGAAATTGTCTGGTTAAAGTAATTGACAATGATTGATGAATGATGATTATGTCAGCTATTGCTAATTAATATAAATTCCATAATGACTAAAATGAAACTGTTGTCTGGTTAACGTGCACTCTGCATCACACTATCACTTTATGTCAGTGTGACTGTGTTTTTCTGCTTCAACAGGACCAGCAGAGATTAGAAAAGGGATATGTGGATTCACTACAAAATGCTACAGTACACTTACAGTAGCTTAAGGAATATTTCTGTTGGTACCAAAGAAGTTTTCAGGTTCAATACCCTGCCCAAACCCAGACCACGAAAAACAACCCCACACCAAATACACATAAGACTGTGAACAGGGTGGCTACACGCCCTGAGCCCTATGGTGTATTTTTCTATCAATAAGTACTTATTCTCTCTGCTGTATGTGCAGCTCATCCAGACAAAGTACTAAAGACCCCAGAGACTCAGTATTTCTCTCAGTATGTCAGACAGATAAACACAGCAGAGACAGAGGAGAGAGAGGTGAGAAGGAGAAAAACAACAGTCAAGATGGAGACAGAGCAACATAAACAGGTCAGAGATGAAGAGAGAGAGAGAGAGAGAGAGAGAGTGTGTTAGTGTTAGGGGGAGAGAGTGTGAGCCAGCTGAAGCACATTGTTCCTGTCTCACACATTCAGGCTTCACCTACAGCTGACGCCTCCTGCAGCCAGGTCCTTTCACAACTTATCACATATCCAGCAACTACTCCCCACTGCCAGGAATTCACTGCCAAATCTAATAATTACTTTGCAGACCTTGGCGACAATTGCATTATGAGAGAGTATTCACATGTACAGTCTCCAGGACTCCAGCAACCCCGAGTCAAAATTGTCAATTTAATCATAATTAATAATGGCACTACCGCAGCATTTCAATCCTGCAAGTCAAAGTCATTAAAATGGTTCCAAGAACTCCAGGACTATATTGTCTGGAGGAAGTAATCAACTTTGGACAGGCCTCAGTAATTCATTAATATACCACCTCCGCATGGAAGAGGGGAGGGCAGGGTGACTTTGTCTACAGGACATTTGTTTCTGAAGACTCTCTGGGAAAACTTTAGATGTTAAAGGCAGAGAGAAAAGCAACAACAATTCTGCTCTTTTTATTCCTCCTACGGCAATGTAGTGGCTCTGTATTGTGACCCGTGCATCAGGCAGAGCCATCTGAAATTGCCAAAGAAAAAAGAATATGAATGCACTGGATTTTCTGCCTTGATTTTGCGGCTCTTCGAACAGGTGAATAGGGTTGCCACCCGTCCCGTATAATACGCCTCTGCCTCCCGACAAAATTCTAGTACCTGAGTCTCGGTACTCCGTGAATTTGAATCAATACGGGAAGAAATCTGTCCTGTATTTTCGTTCATGTTATATCCTCAAAGTGCTGTGAATAATGTAATGTCAAGTAAAACCAAACCAGTTGCCACCTTTTTCACATAAAAGGAAGCAACCCTACAGATGAATATTATCTCTTTTACATCCACGCACACCCACCTTCTTGAAAAGTTTCCCTAAATTAACGTTACATCCCATCGTGTATAGGTTTTTTTTTTTTTTTTTGCAGAAATGTCTCAAATCACAGATTATTTTAAAAAGAGAGCTCATGAGGAGGAGCATTTCAAGGACAGGTGAAACAGTGCAGAGTGCAGACATCATTAGTTCTTCTAATATGGGAAAAAAAAGTTAATTCATGTTACTGACGAGATATGGTGAATGTGTCAGGACTGACCGTAGGCCTAGTTCTCAGCCACAAGTGGAAGGTGCCGGTGGAGGAGAGGATCAGAGCGCGAGAGAGGAGTCAAGGAGAAAGTACCAAGTCTTTAGGAGTGTGATGACGAGTCTATGGAAGCCGACGATTACATGATTTTAACATCAGTTTTTATTAATCTTCCCAGATGTTCTGAAAAGCATAAAGTGAGTGGCTTTGACCCGCAGTGGCTGGAAAAATAATGACTATCTATAACTCTAACTATGTGTGTGAACGCCACACACATAGCATTTCTTTATAAACTATAAACACTTTAGGTCAAAGTGCTATTTGATATGGCATATTTATGTGTTTCCAGTAAAAACAAAGCAGGGGAGGGACTAGTTGCAGTTATAATTTGGTGTTTACAGAAGCCAAAAGTGCTGAATGTACTCTAAGCACACAGCTGTTGCTGACTGACATGTACACTGACTTGAGTTCTCTTGTGTTTTGGAGTCAATTCATATTAAATTAGAGTTGAGAAAATTTGCTTTAGAGGCTTTTGATGACTGATCATTACAAATATATTTTTCATATACTGGGGGGGGACTTGACCTCCTGGGAATCGCAGATAAAACACATCTTGATGTGTTAATGTGTTTCCCTTGTGTGTTTGAGATCTGGAGCCACACACCCAGCTGTTGTGCTCACTGCCAACGTGTTGTTTCATCAGCTCTAAATATTACTGTTAATGCTCATGTACTTACCTTGAAAGCTCCCAACTGACAAGTAAAGCCAGGTGAGTGCTGGGATGAAGACCAGGGCGAGGGAGGCCGCCAGGAACTTCCTGCGCCCGCGACACATTACCAGCATCCTCTGGACCAAAGCAAATACAAATAGAGGTAAAGTGACCTCTATGTGGGTAGCAGCTGTTGTCCAGACCGATTCATTGCACTGGAAGAGAGAGAAGGAAAAAGTAGGTTAGAGGCGGACTAAACATTTCACATCCTGTACAGACGCAATTACAGCTTAGCACACAGCTTCTGCTGATTCCCAAAGCTAAATACATCTGAACCTCCTCAGGCAAAAGACACAAGATTCTATAGGACTGTTAATTATCGTCCGATATAGATGATCGCAATATATAATAGATATATAAGCAGGTATATATGGGTCCAATCATCCAATATTACTCATACTGTGATTGGCTCCTGCACTGCATCTAGTGCTCATTCATTATAAATAGTACATAGTGGATTTAAGATAACACCAAAATTGCTTTATCGCATCACTTATGTCAGATTTGCATTAAATGTGATGTAGCAAATCAGCAGCAGATCCGGGATATGCATCGCTTATTGTGTGTTATTTGGAGAATGTATTATGATTAAAAAATATCATCAAGACTAGGTCTAAACCTAGTATATGTCTGGACCTATGGTCAAATCCTGATTTTATAACTGTGATGGCATCTGACAAAATCACCAAACACATAAATGAAAGACAAAGACCGAGCTGTGATTTCATCTGGATTTACTGCAACATGATCACTCAGAGAGAAAGTTAGAAGAGACACTCTGTCTTTCTTTTTTAAAGTTATTTTCTCAGACCTTTGCCTTTATTACAGTCATAAAGAGAGACAGAGAGAGAGAGAGAGAGAGAGAGAGAGAGAGAGGGAGAGAGAGAGAGAGCGAGAGAGAGAGACAGAGCGAGAGAGCGAGAGGATGACACGCAGCAAAGGGCCACAGGCAGGGCTGGACTCAGACAAAAAAATCGGCCCTGGCCCAGACCGGCCCCCTCTCAATCGGTTGAACACCACCCACCACACCTCCTTTGCAGTCCCCTGAAATATGCGTACTGTACTACAGCTGTGTTTTGTTGTTGTTTTTTGTGCCACGGTAAATTGCACCAGTGCAAGTGTACCAGTATACTCACTGACTGCATGGTTATCAGAAAGGACCAGTGTACTCACACACACTTGACTGACTCCCTGGTAATCATGTGGCTGTGGAGTACACAACATGCATACTCAAGTAGAAGTACCAGGAACTGGCAAAGACAAAGCTCTGCTAAAAGTATCAATCATTTTGAATTATTTGATGTGCAAAACCCTGAACAAATTAAACAATACAATGGTAATGACCAAATAGTTGTTTATTCATGCAGTTATGCATGCATAGAGCTGTTTCATTCTACTTCATTGCATACTAACTGTTCAATTTGTACAGATTTCAGGTAGCAAAATATTTATGATGACTATTGCATAAGGGGCTTACACTATCAAGAGATGATAACTTTTTGTTGATTTTAAGTGTATGTGTGTGTTTGTGCGGATAAATATTTTTAAATGTTAAAAATTTAGATCATATCGGTCCCCAGGTGAGTCGGCCCACAGGGAAAATGTGCGGTATACCAGATTACCAGTCCAGCCCTGGCCACAGGCTGAACTCGAACCTGGGCCACCGCGGTGAGCACTAAGCCCAAATGTCACGCACTCTACCAGGTGAAATACCTGGGCTCGAGACAGACTGTCTTTCTTATTCAGTCTCTCACACAGAGCACAGCCTCCGTCTGCATCCACAACAGTTTAGTTTTTATTTTCTTCAACTCCAGAATGTAACAGACTTTTATTAGAGGCAGGTCTTTATGTCTAGCTCCTTCTGTTTGATATGTAGAGTTGGTCATAGTCGTTAGTACGAAGCCTTGTTAGTGATGACTTCTCTCTCTCCCTCCCTCTCTCCTGCTCTCTCCACTCAGTATTTTCTATGTTTAATAACGATATATGGAATGAAAGTAGTTTATTTGCTGGAATGGAGGCGAGGATCAGTGTGTTGGAAGTGCTCCTCCTCTTCTCTGCAGTTTCTGAGCAGCAGCGAAACAAAGCCGCTCAGTAGACTGTGGCTCGGCTGACCAGTGGTGGAAATATGATAACTCAGTCAGTCAGTCAGTCAGTCACTCAGTCAGTCACATTCAAGATTATAGGGCTGGCCCTGCCATTGTAGTCCAGCCAAAAATGTGTGACAGCACCAACCTGGTATACCAGCGCTGTACAGGCATGCCAGATTTGACCTAACCCTAACCATGAAATCCTGAAATATTAGAATAACAGTGTAACTGCCACCTATTGTTGGACTACTGTAGTTTGCAAAAGTGGATTTTACGTATAGTGTGGCCTACACCAGAAGATGCAGAACTAAAATACGTAAGAAATGCATGAATGTACTTGCAAGGAGCTAGCAAGATAAACCACAACATGTTTTTGTTTTGGTTTTGTTTTGTTTTTATTATAGCACCCCTTTATGATGGGTCATGTTGCAATTGGCTTCTTCGTCTGCTGCAAATTCCACATTTGCACCTTCAAGGGTTTGAGATGCAGAATGAGTTTTAGCTAAAATCAGATTTAAAGAAAAAGAAAAACACAAGATCTAAACATGAAGAAAGGCTATATTTTCAACTTCTTGATCCACAGCAGTTTGTTTTACATGAACGCAGCGTGCTAATGTTAAGCTAATAGTGAACTGTTATGAACACGCTAAAACGGAAACTTTCTGTGTGTAGACTGCAGCTTCATTTGACACAGAGAGTATTGAAGTCTCATTGTATGATGTTAGTTGAAATGCTCTATCCCTTTCAATTACGTTTGTCCAATTATCCAGCTGACCTCAGTCCATTTTTTACCTTTGCCAAAACAGCCCAGGGATGAAACATAATACCTCTGGCCGGCACATTCACAACCCAGGATGCCAATTATCATAGTGTCACCCAATAAAAAGCAGTAGAGGGAGCAGATTTCAGAAAAAGTATTTCCAGCACTCCTCCAGCACTTACTGAATCTCCAAGATTTTTTATTGTGGCCCGGGCAATGTGAAGAGCTCAGAGTGAGGCCGGGTTAAATGAGGCTAGAGGAGATTAAACAACTCTCTCAAGTATGACAACCACTGCTTTGATATGCTATGAATCATTTCAGTGGCTCCTTAGCCTTTGACCCCTGTGTGATATTAGCTCTTCACTGGATGCTGTGATTTAAATTGCAAATGCTACACTGAAGGCATTTATTACCACATCCAAGCGAGGTGTCAGACCACACAGTAAGCAGCTCCAGTCATGCAGGGACACAGGGAAAAGAGACATCATGTGTCTCAGACTGAGGAGCAGCAGTAGACTGAAGGACATTTTGTTATCAGCTTCACTGTTAAGGTGTGACATGATGTCATCAGTTGTCACAGCTTTTCACAGACAGTGAGGTTTAAACACTACCTAAGCTTAATCCACTTGCCTAATCCATTTATTTGGACGTCGTGAACACATATGTGAATGCACTGAACATATGTTACAGTTGTCAGTGACGTATGCATCAGTGGTGGAAGCAGTACTCAGATGCTTTTCTTCCTGTAAAAATACTCCATAGTCCTGTAATCAAAATCCTGCTTCAGTGAAAGTGAATCAGTATTATTAGCAAAATACATAAAAGTCCGCATTCTGCAGAAAACTATAACCTGTTTTATACATAATTATATATGATATTATTGCAGTGTTGCTGCTGATGAGTCAGTTTGTAAGCAGTATGTTTCTGGCCAAAGTCTGTTAGTTACCACACAGCTCTGCTACACATTTGGATTCGTTCTCGTCTTTAATTTGGCTTTTTCTGGGACATATTGCATCATTTTACTACTTACCACAACTGACTACAACCAGACAATGTGTTTTTGCAACAGGTCACAAGCCAAAAGTTTGGCTTGTATCTTTTAAAAATGATTTTTATATATTGTTTTTGGGTTGTTCATCCGTCTGTATGTGCGTCCATTTGTTTGTCCATCCCATTCTCGTCAACGAATATCTCAGGCCTTGATGGAACTTCTTCATATTTGGCACAAACATTCACTCACACTTAAGGATAAACTGATTAGATTTTGGTGGTCAAAGGTCAAAGGTCAAGGTCACTGTGACCTCACAAAACACGGTATTGGCCTTGTGAATGCGATATCTCAGTAACGCCTTGAAGGAACTTCTTCAAATTTGGCACAAACATTAATTAGGACTCAAGGACAAACCAATTAGATTTTGGAGGACAAAAGTCAAAGGTCACAATGACCTCACGAGATGCAGTTTTGGCCTCTTGAATGTGGTATCTCAAGACCACCTTGAGGAAATTTGTTTAGACTTGGCACAAACATTCACTTGGACTCAAAGATGAAGTGATTAGATTTTGTTGGACCTCACAAAACATGTTTTTGTCCATAACTCACAAATTAATTCATTAATTATGACGCAATTTAACTCAAATATCTATAAGGATAAAATGAAGTGATGACATTTTATATCGAAAAAGTCAAAGGTCAACTTCCCTGTGACATCCTAATATTCTGTAAAAATACTTCTGGTCATTATTCAATACTGTAACTCACTTGGCAGGTTGATGGAGGAAACAACCATGAGGTGGTGATTCTGTTCTATTTGTTTTTGTTTTTTATTTCAGAGTTATATTAAAAAGTCATTTAAATAGAAACTATTAATCTGAAAAGCATATCTGGTTACATAGCTGTTGAATAAATGTCGTGAAGTACAAATTTGGTATTTCCCTCTGAAATAAATGTATTTTTCAAGGGTAAACTGTACATTTAGAATATTTTTGGGTGGAAAGTTTGATGAGATTGAGAAAGAAGTTATAGTTAGTCTGATTTTTGTTATAAATCCAGAGGGCTAATTTGAATTAATCTGATAATCAGATAAACTCTTTATCCACCACTACAGTAATGGTCGCTTCTCACTACTTAAGGTTTACTTTGCCTTCAAATAGTCTGTGTAATTCTTCCTCTAGTCAATCGTCCAAATAATCAAGCCACTCACTCAGTCGCTGTAGTCGCCACTGGTCA